CCGCTAAGCCGCTAAACGTGGAGGCGTTGGCTCCCCCTCCTTCGGGAAATCCCCGTTAACAACCCAGCCTGAAATCGAAATTTTTCTGTCGCACCTATCCATGCTCGGGTCACAACTAGCAAACCGGCCTGACAGCATGCCCACCACGGCACCGCCTGCGCCTCGCAACACCAAAACGAAAGCTTTGGATGGGCCCCGAAGCCACCAGCCTTACTGCCTTACTGACTACCAGCCAGAGTTCACGTTCCACTCAGCTCAGGTAGGGGTCCGCTGTTACTTGCGCTGCACGGGTGTCCACATGCAGAACTTCTGCGCGGTCCTCCTGTGAGTGCCCCAAGGCCGCCGACGCTAAGACAACCTCGGCGGGACGTCTTCGAAGTGTCATTTCAAAAGCTGCTCGACCCTGCTTTCAAGGTCTCATCTACAGGCTGCAGGGATCTGTACGGATTAGAGGGGTTCTGGCAAGTTCTGAATTCCACGGACGGAGAGATGTGGAAGTTTTGCTCGGCCTTGGCGGCCAAGGCCTAAGCCGCTTGTGCCATGATGAATCTGCTTTCTGCACATGCGTTCAGCTTCGATGGGGCACACTTCGTTGCAGAAGTGTTGCAGATGAGACTGGTGAAGGTCGCAACACTGGGCTCGGGCTCGCAACCTAGGCGATCCATCCCCCGAACGAGCCCAAAAGACGGATCTCCTACTCCTAGCCCTGATCGGCCAGGACCACAAGATGGGTGAACAGCGCGGGCCCCTTCATCGTTCCCTGCTCAGGAACATGTCGACGCAGCGGCTCTGTGGGTCTACACCAATAACGTTCTTTCTGCAAATCCCAACACGGTCGACCAATTGATCGGCCAACGGTGGCACGGCAAGTATCCTGCAATGTGCAATATGGCGCACGGGTTTCCGATTGTAAGGCGTCCATGATCTTTGCCGCTTCCTTGGTCGCAGAGTTGGGCATGCTTGACGCAGTTCACCTAGGTCCGTAACAGCCAGACGCACTGCTGGCGCCGCTTGCAAGGTCGCCGGTCTTGCCGGACTGAAAGCAGATCCGGATGCAAAGCTGTCATAAACTGTCAGGTGTCGCGAACAACGAAGCCTGCAACGGAAAGAACTTGGCTCATGCCTCTGTTGCACCACAGCTCTCACAAATCGTGTCAGCTAGTCTCACGCGTCGAGTCTGCCCACGTTGCACATCAGCCCGATGACACTCTCAGCCTGCTTCAGCTTGGATTTTGTTCTTCTAAATGCCCGTCTCCAGCTGTGGCCGGGTCGGAGCTTTAGCTGTCCTTCTCCACGCACACGGCCCGATGACTCGATGTTAACAATGGCTGAAGTGCATGGTGAAGGTCGTCGAGATTGTCTACATGGAGATGAAATGCTGTTTACATGCAGCATTGACGACATTCAGACTTAGGGCGATGACTTGAAATCCAAGCCCTCCTTTACAAAGGGCTCGACAGCAGCCCCTGGCTGCAGTGCTACTGACCGCCCAAAGACCCTCAAACCTAGCGAGCTTGACATAAGTGCTGCCATTTCAACATTATGACACCCTATTTAAAATCAACGAATCCCGCACATCCAGGTACAGACCCTGTACGAACCACGAGCATCCTTGCTTCAAGGCACGACTACCCTTGGACATGGCGGTAAGCTCCATCGAAATGTGGGTGGCTGCCTGTGGAACTTCGGCTCCTTTCGGATCCTTTGATGGACTTTGGTTCCGAAGGTTTAACAAAAACCTGGGTGCTCGAGGAAAATCTTCGTGTTCCGAAAGAAAGACCCCTCTTTCTTCCAAGCCTCTGGAGACCCTAACGGAGATGGACCCATGTGGGTGAGTGCGGGCGTGTCGACTTTCCGCCCTCAACGGCCGTCCCCAGAATTGCAACACCACGATCCCGACAGTATGGCGAACTCAGGGCCTCTGACTTCAGGACGCTGCGCTCGCTCAAGGGGACCTGGGTCAATGTCCGGGCTAAACAGGGGTGAATGTCTCCAATGTCTTCTTCACGTAAACCTGCCCTAAAGAACGGGCAACTCGACGGCTGCTGCCGGGCAGCCAGGGTTGAGCGACAGGACATCTGCTCCGGATGCTCTACGCCTTGGATTGCGTTCGAAGCCCAATGCTCCCGGATGTGGCATTCAATGCTAAGGCTGCTTGGATGTGACCACCAAGGTCCTGCAGACGACGACAGTGGTGATGAAGACGATGATGGCACTTCTGTTGTGATGGTGGGTGATGGCGAAATGATGTTGAAGACTGTGCTGCTCCGGGCTTTAATGTGATGATGTGGAGATGGTAACAATACTACTGCTTGCGGCACTGGGCGTCCTCTGAGCGTGGCCTCAAACCTCCATTCTAGGTCCTAACCCCAGTGACCCAGTGCAGGTGGAGCAGCTTTCGATCAGAAGCTCCTCGTCGTCCTGCAGACTCCGTTCTCACCACTTCCTACCGACGCAGCATGGGGATCTCCAATGCAGCAAGCAGGGTCTCCTCATCATCGCTGGAGCTTAGCAGGTCGCCGGAAAGCATGGAGTCCTCACGCTTGGATTCTTTCCGAGACTTGCCATCGAGCAACACTGAAGCAAAGCTCTGTGCTCGCATGTCTAGCCGGAGCTGGTGCAAAAGCGGGAATGCCAGTCGACTAGGAATGCCCCTGGCCACAAAGGGCATGGCAAAGCATACAGACGAAGTCACATGGCGCTACTATGAACCCGGAACGCCTAAGCCGATAAACGATCTGCAGTCTTGAAGCCAAGATTGAGTGATATGGACAATCATGGACACATGAATGCACAGTCTACTGTCATATGGTGACATAGCTAATAACCAGAACAGAACTCACGACAAACCAAGAGGCTTGAACAGATGCAGTTATAGATGCTTGATACGCTGGCTGTGAGATGCTAGAATATAAAAATCCACAAAGCCATCCAGCGTTCTCCTCGTGTACGCAATCCAAGCGAGGTGGCAGCGGCTTCGCAGTTTGGCCACACTTTCCTCAGAATCGGGGATGTTCGAACTTACGCTCTCGCAACTCGGGCAAGCCTGACGAGATCTCTGGTTCGGAGTACTTTGACTGGTCGGCACCAGCAGCTGATGTTCAGTGGTTCAGTGAGGCTAAAGGGCTTCGAGCACGTATGGAAAGATCCGAAAAGTTACCATGGATGCGTTGCGGGGTTTGCAGGCTTCCACTTCACACACTTCCGGCTTTGTGCTTTCCGGTCTTCTGGCGGTATTCGATTCAACCAACTACGATGCTAGATGTCGCCTAGGCCAAGGCCATACTATAGCCCAAAGCGAGTTCCGAGACCGGGCAGAGCTGCAGACTGGCTCCAGATCATATCACTCCTCGTGCTGATAATATGTCATTTTTTAGAGTAACATAATGTAATCTAAGATAAGATCAGGCTACATCAAGGTAAAACACCACATTACAATACAACATACCATAACATAATATAGCATAAAATGACACCACACTACAAACCATACAATACAACATAATATACAAACAATACATAACTTCGAATATAAGATCGTCTAATATAGTACAGTATAGAAAAAAGGAGCAGCACCATATATCAAATGCAATAGAGTTAAAACCTAGCATAGAAGTATATCATATCTCTTTACATGTCGAAAGACTGGCAACAAAAATCAAGAGAGCACGCCCAGTTTCTCGCGGCGGCAGCTGGTGCTCCGTGCAAAGTCAGCGCTGTACAAGTTACAGCGACCATTCAAACAGGGTGCGGTCACTTGGCTAAAGTTTAAACTCTTGGCCACATAGCTTTCCATATCGGAATTCCTCTCGGCCACGTACATTCTGTCCTGAAACTACTTTAAAGAATCTTAAAGCTGAAGCATAGCTGAAGCCAAAACTCAAAATCGCGAGCACTCTGGTGCAAGCAAGGCTGGTGAAACCGCTGAGCCAATAACTTGACACAACCCCAACCGACCCGATTTCATTCACATGATTTTTGAGATCGAGCCAGCCCTGCCACCACACCGCCCACCAAAACGTGCAGTGTGCAACTGACAATCATTCGACAAGCGTTTCCTCGTCGTTGCTCCATGCCCCAAGTAAATCAAAGGAAAGCCATGGGCGGTTGTCGAAGTTTGTCGACTCACCAAGGCCCGAAGTTTTGTACCCGGGGCTTGGTGGCCTTTGTGGAGCTTTGCTTGGCCTGCTGACCCTTGATCTTCAAGGCAGACTGAGCGGCGGCCAGTCGGGCAACTGGCACGCGAAACGGTGAGCAGCTCACATAATCCAGGCCGATGCGCTCGCAGACCTCGATGGAGGCAGGGTCGCCACCATGCTCGCCACAGATGCCCATCTTCATCTGGGGCCTGGTGCTGCGACCGCGCTCCACTGCCATGGTGATCAGCTCGCCGACGCCGTCGGGATCAAGGGACACGAAGGGATCCGTCTCCACGATTCCCTTGGCCTTGTACTCAGGCAAGAATGATCCGGCATCATCGCGGCTCAAGCCGTAGGTGGTTGGCGTCAGGTCATTGGTGCCAAAGCTGAAGAACTCCGCCGTTTCTGCCAACTTTCCAGCCTGGAAAGCTGCGCGAGGGAGCTCGATCATGGTGCCCACCTTGTAGCTGAAGGTGATTCCTTGTTCCTTATTCACCGCATCTGCAGTCTTCTCAATGACTCCCTTCAGCAGCTTCAGCTCTTCGGTGGTTGCCACAAGTGGCACCATGACCTCTGCCACTGGCAGCTTCTTGGAGCTTCGGCCGACCTCGGCTGCGGCTTCGAAGATGGCTCGCGCCTGCATCTCGCAGATCTCCGGATAGGTGATGGCCAGTCGGCAGCCACGATGGCCCAGCATGGGGTTGGCCTCCTGCAGCTCTGCAGCGCGCCTGCGCACCCGATCCAGCGGAACGCCTGCAGCTTTCGCCACCAGTGCCATTTCCGCTTCCGTGTGAAACAGAAGCTCCTGGTTGTCTAGTCTATGGCACGTGCAGCCCAGATTATTTCCCAGAATGATTCTCTTCAAAGGCCCAGAAGCGGGATGAACTCGTGCAGCGGAGGATCCAGCAAGCGGACCGTCACGGGCATTCCGTCCATAATCTGGAACAATTCGGTGATATCTTCGCGCTGCATGACCAAGAGCTTCTCCAGCGCCTGCCGCCGATCGCTCTCATCCGTGGCCAAGATCATCTGCCTCATGGCCACAATGCGCTGACCTTCGAAGAACATGTGCTCCGTCCTCACAAGACCGATGCCCTCTGCGCCGAACTCCTTGGCTTGTCGAGCATCGGCTGGCGTCTCTGCGTTGGCACGGACCTCAAGTAGAGCCGCGTACAAGCAGGTTTCTCAGAGGCTCTCAAACTGACGCCATTTCAACACTAATAATACTAATAGCAATATAATGGCTCAGCTTGGTACCTTCATGTCCCGGAACTCATCCGCCCACTCCATGATGGTCCCGAAGGATCCAGACAGCTGTGGAGGCACGGTTGGCACTTCGCCAACAATGACCTCTCCTGTACTTCCATCAATAGTGAGGATCTGCCCCTCTGCAACCGTGACCGCACCCACGGTGAGCTTCGCTGCAGTATAGTCCACGGTGATCGCACCCGCACCCGCCACACAGGGTCGGCCCATCCCGCGGGCGACCACCGCAGCATGGCTTGTCATGCCACCTGCCAGCACCCACAACCTATTGGACTTAAGGCTGCTCTAAGAAGACACAGGGAAGACTACTCTAGGGATGCTAATTAAGGTGTAGGGCGTAGGGTTTAGGGGTTCTAGGCCGCCAGATCGAATCGGCCTCGGGTGGTCAGATCTCCCTCAGCTGCGTGCAAGCCGTGGATATCGTCGGGACTGGTCTCGATGCGAACCAAGATGACCTTCTCGCCATCCTTGCACCGTCGCACTGCTTCGTCAGCAGAGAAGACAACCTGAACAAGCCAGGTTATGAACATGCGGAAAGCAAAACAAGGCCTGGAAAAGAGCTCTTGATGATCCATGGTAAAGGTGGAAACCAAAGTGTACTCCAGCAAAGCAACCTTGCCGCCAGCAGCACCGGGAGAGGCAGGAAGGCCCTTGGCGATGACATCCTTCTTAGCCTTCGGGTCCAGCGTGGGGTGAAGCAGCTGATCTACCAAGTCAGGCTTCAAGCTAAGGATAGCTTGCTGCTTGGAGATCAAGCCTTCTTGGGCCATTTCAACGGCAATCTTGAGTGCAGCTGGAGCCGTGCGCTTTCCGTTGCGCGTCTGCAGCATGTAGAGTTTGCCTTGCTGTATTGTGAACTCAATATCGTGCATGTCCTCTCAAAGACATGCAGCAAAACCTAATAATTGTATCTATTTTCCCTCCTACTTAGCAAGGACCCAAATGATTCTATTTATTAGGATTCTCTGGCTCTGCCAGCTTTATAGGAGGGAGAGGAAATCAAGTTGTTTGCGGGGACGTCCTTGTAGTGGGTCTCCAGCTGGCTCCGCACCGACAGCAGCTCCTTGAAAATCTGTGGCATCACCTTTTCCAAAGAGGGCAGATCCGAACCATGGGACTTGCGGGCTTTGATAGTCAACTCTTGCGGTGTGCGGATTCCGGCAACCACATCTTCACCCTGGGCATTCACCAAGAACTCACCGTAGAATTCGTTGGTTCCCGTGGAGGGGTCACGAGTAAAGGCAACGCCTGTGGCACAGTCGCTGCCCATGTTGCCGAAGACCATGGCTTGGACGTTCACAGCGGTGCCCCACCACTCCGGAATGTCGTGCAGCTGCCTGTACGTCTTGGCTCGCTGGTTCATCCAGGAGTTGAAGACAGCACCGATAGCACCCCATAACTGGGCTTTCGGATCTTCGGGGAAATCCTCGCCCAGCTCCAACTGCACTACAGCTTTGTACGATTTCACCAACTTCTCCAAGTCCTCAGCAGGCAGCTCGCAGTCCTGCTTCACACCGCGCTTCTCCTTCGCACGCTCCAAGTGCTTCTCAAAGTGGCTGATCTCGATGCCCAAAACAACGTCCGAGTACATCTGCACGAAGCGCCTGTAGCTGTCGAAGGCAAAGCGCCGGTCACCCGATTTCTTTGCCAAAGCTTCCACCGTCTGATCGTTCAAGCCCAGGTTGAGCACCGTATCCATCATTCCTGGCATGGACGCGCGTGCCCCCGAGCGGACTGAGACCAAAAGTGGGTTGGTGGAGTCGCCAAAAACACGGCCGGTGCGCTGCTGGACCAAAGCCAGTGCCTCCTCGACCTGCTTGTTGAGCTCCTTAGGATAGTTGCAACCATTCTGATAGAAGTGCGCGCAGACCTCTGTCGTAAGGGTGAAATTGGGTGGCACGGGCAGCCCGATGGAAGCCATTTCCGCAAGGTTGGCGCCCTTGCCACCAAGGAGATTCTTCAACTCCGCTCGGCCGTCGGCCTCGCCATCGCCGAAGTTGTAGACCCACCTGGCCATGTCTGCGAGGAAAACGTCTACGTCTGAATCCTGATCGCTCAGATGCTTTGAACCTCAAATGTCTGGTGCAATGCAGGGTTCTCAGTTGGTCAAGACTTCGGAACAAGAGCTTTCCATGGGTTGGGCTCATGCAGCGTGGCTGAGTCGAGCTTTAGGTTTCACTGTGCTTCGGACTTCGCCACAGCCAGGCAAGGGACACAACAGATGTGATCAGTCTTCAAACTACCGCTCCGCAGCCTGAACTAAGACCATGCCGAAGCGAGACACCAAGGCGTGGACTTATCGCGACGAAACTGGACTCGATTTCCGTCACTGTAACATCGAGATACATCGAGCTTGCGGTGTCGCCGGGTTCGTTCCGCTGTTCGAACTTGCATCCCCGCAGAGACGAGGTGACGAAGCCTCGAAAGCCCTGGAGCGAACTCCAATGCCGCTGCAGTGGCCGTCCAGCAACGGCGGCAGCGGGGGCACGACGAGGCGCTGCGGCTGCCCCGGCTGTGGGTGGTCCTGGAAACACTTGGTTGCTCTTGGCTCTGCGCTGGAGGTTCGCAATTCTTGCGCAGGCTGCCATCTTGCACCCTGGTCTGCCAGAGTCCAAATCGGTTCGGACTGCTCCCCCGACCCTCAACTCACTTGGAGCTGAGGCAAAGAAGACGCCTTGCGAGTCCCAGCCAGCCCCAAAAGCTCCAAGGCCAAAAGCTCCCGTCAAGAACTGGACCCTCGAACGAGTGAATGTTGGGTTTTCAGGGTTTCGGGCTCGGGGACCCGAGGCCGCTCCTTGCCGCTGCGCTCCTCATCACTTTGGCTGTCGCTCTCACTGTCGCTGTCCACTTTCGGGGCCGAGGCGCCACGCTGGAAGACCTAGAGAGAAGTTTCAGGATTTGGTTGCCTTGGTTGTTGAGAACGATTTTTCCTTCCGCCGCAACTAGCGGTGTGGAGTCTCTTTCTGTATGCGCTTATCATTACTTACCCTCCTCAATTGAGTTACTGCACTAGTGTCACTAGTGGTTCGACTTCATGGCGATCTTCGACGCGGTGAGCACGATTATTACAACCCTATGCTTGCCCACCAGCTGCTCTTTACACTGGGCGGGTAGTTGCACGCGGCTGCCGGTGGCGGGTACAAGCACACAAGCCGCACCGTGAACAAACCGAACTGTCTAGCTGCTGCGCCCTCAAACCTGACGGTTTATCAAAGGGAACGCCCGAAACACCCATAGCGGCCTTCGTCATCTGCGACACTTTGCCCGCAGTGGCGATGCGTGTCCGAGCAGAGACCGGAACTGGTTTCCTCCTAAGACGGCACGGGTTTTAAATTTTGGCACCGGGTGCGACTTCTGAGTACTTGTACCGAAGGAATGGAGGGCGAGGGGCCACAGTAGCAGCCTCACACTAGTCGGATGCCGAACGCTAGATCTGCCCCAGCCCCCGAAACTGGCAAACAGCATCCGAGATTCTCGGGCGTTCCGAAGGGTTTCCGAGCTCCGTTGCTCGCATTCCTGAGATGCATGTTGGCTGCTGCAGTTTTGGGTTGCCAACGAGGTGCATGCAGAAATCTTCAAAGGCTCAGAATGATTCAGGGCACAGACACCGCTCGCGGTCAGCCCAAAGCGGCGTATTCCGACTGAATAACCCTCTGAAAGTCATGCGTTCCGAAGAGCGCAGAGAGGTCGAGCTTTGGGATGGGCATCATCTCCTCCCAAGAATATCACGAGTGCATCTAAATTGGATTGCGGAGGGTGTAGTGGATAATGGCCAAGAGGTGTTAGCGCATGGGGAAGACCGTCCACAAAACTACGCCGCAGAGAGCCATGGCTAGAACAGAAAAGGACGAACCAACGAAGCACCAAACTCATCAATTAGAAGCCTGCTCCCACAAAGCCCTGTGTCGCACCTTCTTGCGCTGCGGCACCGTCCCTCCAGCATGGGCAACGAGCCGAAAACAGCTGCGGATCTGGGCCATGGAAACACGTGCAAAGCAGGTCCCATGCGGGACTTTCCGCCAAATACGTTGTTTTTTAACGTTGGCGTTGCCAAGATGTCGGAAGCACATCTGAAAGTCCGATGTTTCCTTACTTACTTCCGAAACTACTCGTTGGCACACTCCTGTCCTCAAAGTGTCAAAGAACTCCGTCTTTGCGCCGCCTCTGTTGATGTCACTGTTGCTTCCATCTATGATATGTGCTGCTTTTCTGCGAAGTAGGATTTGGACTCCAACCGCTTGCAAACAATCAGTTTTCTGAGGTCCGTTTGGCATCCCCTTGGCCTCACTTGCGTGTGGGCATGTGGTGTTAACACATGCAGAACATGCAGACTGACGAATGAAACCATCTCAACAGGGCGGCCCTCACAGCACATGCAAGCAGAACATGATATAACGGCATCCATTTCCTGCTTCCCGGACCGGATCCCTGGCAACACAACGGAACACCCTGAAAAGGTAGGAAAATGCAAGGCGGAGCCTGCGGTCTAACTACACTGGAAAGACTGCCGAACATGCAAGAAGCCTCTGAGACGTGCTACCTCTAGCCAACCGTCTGCCCATTTAATCAGTCTACCGTGTTAACGAGTGCTGTTATGTTGTGTCCCCACACACACACTCTCCCTCTCTGTCGCGACCAAAACAACTGCAACGACGGCTCATGAAGTGAACTCTGCTGGTAAAGGTGCCAACCCTCTTCACACCTGTACTCACTCGTACCATCCATTGCCGTTGATGCGCGTGCACTGGACTACTGCTATGCTGATTAATTTTTTGGTATCTTCTGGTGAAAACCAACAAAAGTGAATGCAGTGTACAACACTATTGCCGTCGCGCGTCCTTCTGTTGTTCCCCCTGCGGTTCTCCTTCGAAGTCGACTCCTTAAGCCAAGCTCTGAGCTCGTAGTACTTCTGCGCCATGAGCGTGTTCACACGTGGGATCCCGCCTGTCAGCTGCGGCTTGGCGAGGCTTTGTCTTGGGCAACGGCCTCCCAACTCCACCTAGACTTCCCTTACACATTTTCGTTTCGCCCAAGTGGCACTGCGAAGCGTTTTAAGGCGGAAGTTGCGGGCCCAATGCAAGTCAGCATCCCCATGCATGCCTAGCCAAAGCCTTGCCGTCCCGAACTCTGACAGGTAACACGATCCTGCTTTTCCCTCCGCGGACAGACGTACAAAATGCCATTGAAGTGGCAGCCTGGGTGTTTTGGGCTGCGCCCCCCAGGCAGCAACAAATACTGCGCAAAGGGAGTCTGAAATTTCCATCTCAAGCCTAGAATCCTCATTCATCCTAAAACAACTAGCGGCACGCAGCTTTGGTGGCAGGTCTGTTCTGGTTCTGGAGGGGAAGGAGACTGGTGCAACGAACCCCCCGAAAAAAATCACAGCAAACCTAGAGTTCCTGGAACGGCCTGTGAAGCTCGTCTGTAGTGCGCTTGCTGTCGCTGCTGCTGTCGCAGGAAAGGAGCAACACAAGAACTGACGGGGAAGTTGTAGCAATAGCCGAAATAGTGGCAGTGGTGGCGGTTCAAGAGTCAGTTACCAGTCGTCAGCAGCAGTCGTCTCGAGCGTGCACTTGCAGTTGTAATTGTGGTTGTCGTTGCAATTGTAGTTGCGGTCGTGATTGGCACTGCAGTCGTTGATGTGTTCTTCTGGTCATGGTCTGGTTTCGGGGGTACGGAGTCGAAACAGTATTTCAGATCCCCGGGTTCCATCCCACTGCACACCTCAGTACGTGCTGCTTGGCAGCACCACTCGGTGCGACAGGGGGCGCCTAACGGCGGCGGAGTTTTACCTTCGGCATCTGTCCGGACGTGAGGTTTACACATGTTTACACTGTAGCTTATTGCATGATTGTTTCCTTCAGCTGCACGTGCTGCCTTTGCCGCCCATCGAAACGACGGATTGCCAGCAGCTCCCAAAAAGTTCCGCTCGGTGCCTGTTGCCACAACAACCCTACGATGTTGGCGGCAGGAGTTGAAATCTGGTGCCTGAAATGCACGTCTCGTCTCAGATCAGGGCTTCGCACAGAGAAAGCCTAACAACGTGAAACCCTCAGTTTCCAGCTTTTCAACGCCCCTCTGCAAGCAGGCAGCAGCGTCGCAGGCAAATCCCCACGCACCTCTGGCTCAGTCAGGGGCGCAATGGATGCAATAAAACAAACCCCAACTCCACGCATGCGCGAACAGAACAAACACAGAGAGAGAGAGAGGCGCCAACAGAACCCACTGACACACACACCAAAAAAAAAAACGCACATACGTCTCAGGTAACCTGGCGCTTCGCGAGACAAGCATCTGCTCGTCCGCTGTCATGACTCAATGTTGGAGTGCACTCAAAGGAGATTTTGCTTGACTGTTGATTGATTGGTTGACTTCGAAAGGCGGTCACAGTTGCGCATGCCTAGGGATGCTGCAACTGTGACATGCTAAACACGACAAGCCGTTGGACAACATAATCGACAGCAACAATCTGGTCATCTAAATGTGCCAGGTGGCCCTGTTCTGACACGATGGCTGCAGAACTGTAAAGCATGCGATGCAGGGCCCCTTTGCGGCCTACCTTTGGCTTTATAAGGACTTCCTGCTCCTCCGCAACGTCTACTGCATGATCTGACTTAAACAGATCCAGGCAGCCTTACACAAGGATTAACTTTACGGCTGGCCTGACAAACTATGCCTTTCCTTGCTCAAGATTGATACATATATATATATATATATATATTGACATTTTTATCTTTCCTGGGCCCTGCACCGCAAAAGACGGGGCCCTTGCTACGGCACGATCCTGGGTGCGACGGGCTATGTCCGAGCCGATCCCAAGACGCGCTCTCGCGTGAAACCTTAAACCGTGGCCGAGTCATCCCCGAGGAAAGCATGATACCTCCCTGCAAATCAGCTTTCATGTTTCGAGTCTGATCCGGACACTCTACCGGCACCCTAAACCCACGCTTCGAATTGAGGTCAATTCAAAGCCTTGGAAGGCACGGTGCCAAACTCAACGGCCTCGTGCGATTGCAT